AAAACACCAATTTAGTTACGTCTGAAAAACCACCTCATCCTAGTGCAAAAACATTTTGTCAAAAAACCTATTTTATTCAAAATTGACGTGTTTCCATTGAGCAAATTTATTTTCGAAATTCTAATTTGTGCATTTTCATGGTGAATGGAAACACAGCTAGTGTCACAATCTCAATTAGAATGATTAATCAGAATTGTAATCAATGTGCTGTAATTAAATTGCTACTTTGCTCTTCAGCTTTGTGATGAGTCACACCTGGCTTTATTTTAACCTCTCATTCAAGTGTGCAGAGAAATTATTTGTGTCTGGTACCAAACTTGATTTGTGAAGTTTTCTAAGATGCATTGTGTAGACACTGCACAATGATGTCACACAGATTTCACAGAATCTGGTGACACACAGACAAAACGCTCCTTTACAGAGCGTAACATCCAGTTTGAAGGATGGCTTCAACATAACAGTGATGTTGGTTGTGTAACATGATTGTACTCTAAACATGACAGTAATGAGGAGGAGACCTCACCTTCAAAGCTCTTGAAGGACTCAAAGAGTTCAGTGAGAGACTGAGTGGTGAGCTGTTCGTGGTATTTTGAAGCCACCTGGACACAGATCTGCAGGTTCTGACGGATGTTGGCCGACARCATGGCCCTGAGGCACTCCATTGAATCTTCCACTGACAGTGAGCCAAAGTAGTTGACCAGCCACTTGAGGTGGAGAAAACATGTGATCATCAAGGCTACATGATAAAAATGAAACATGGCTTTAAGTAGAGCCAATAAGTACCTCTGGGTTGAGAAGATGTGTGTGCACCACAGCACGCTTGATGTCGTACAGATCTGTGTARTGCTCCAGTGCCCTCTGAAGGAGTCCAGCCTTCTCACACAGCTGGGCGATGTGGGCACGATCATAGTTGGTGAACATCTGGTTGCCCAAGATGGCATCAGCAACCTACAACCAAAACACAAAAGATCAAACATTCCTTCCTGCGTAACGGACCTTGGTTTAATTAAGCCAGGCAGACTGATCCACCTGTGGGGCGTGCATCAGGTTCATTTCCAAGAGGCGAGTCTGCAGTGGTCCCTCTGAGGGTCTGTTGTTCTTCAGAGCATCCAGGAGGAAAGAGGTGCATTGTTGAATCAGGTTGTACTCCATGAACACATCCACAATCTGAGGCGATACACACACACAAAGGTGATCTGTTAAAACTTCAAAACACAATGTACCAAAACAAACTAAACAAAAATACTCATGAAAAACCATGTAGAAAAGAAATGAGCAACACTTTATAAAATGAAGGAAACAATAAATCCAGTTCATCCTGACCTTACTGACAAAATAAGTTGGTCTAAGTCAATAATTTTGTCAWGTTGTGGGTTAAAAAAAATCTCCTTAATTCTAGTGTTGGTTTCATGCTTTTCTATTCAGACCTTTGACTGCAAATGCAGTAAATACTTTAACCAACTTCATAACTTCAATACAAAAGCAGAAACATTTTTCCCTTGGTGATCATCCAAACAGGAGGTCAGACCTGATAAATCCCTCACATTGACTTTGAGACMACTGCTTAACTTGGTTTATCAATATAAATAAATGATCAATTTAACCCTAAGAAAACAGGCCTCATACCTGTCAGCTAGTACAGCAGTATGTTGTTAAAACCCCTGTATGATGAGTACATAGCTCAACAAAAACCTACAGATATGTTATCAATCCTTTGAGTCTGTGTACAAAGTTAAGAAATTATAGGGACAGATGATATTGTTTCAATGATAAATGACACGCCACCACAGCATTTTAGGCAACAAAGGAAGCTCTCAGCAGTTTACATTTGCACTGCAGTAACTCTGCTGGGGCAGGAAGTAATGGAAGTCGTCCATTTCCTTCACAAGCAGCTGAGGTTCACAGTTGTTGCACAAAATATGAATCAAATCTTTTGCCTTCAAAGAAAAGAGGAAGGACTCTGATGGACTGGGATCTGAAAAGTCAACTGAATGGATTTTGAAAAGGAAGTTAAAAAAGAAAAAAAACTTTGTTGGTCCCAAATTTTAATTCTGAATATATTTCACAAAAAGATAAAACAATCTCCATTTTATTTTTAATATAATCTGTAAAAACATGCAATGATAAGAAATTCCTTGTTTTTTTCTGACCTGTGTGATGTCTGCCAGCGGCTCTTCATCCTGGACAAGCATCTGTGCAAACTGCAGGCCTTGGTCTGGGTTGATCCGCATCACATTCCTAAGCAGAAAGATCCAGTCTGGGGTGTAGCCCACCTGGAACCAACGTTAAAGCAAAAACTATTAGAACCAGGGTTTGGAGAGCCAGTAATGGACAAATATCACTAAACTCTATGAGGCAGTTTTTACAGGTATGTTGAGGACACCTCTCGTACCTTCTTAGCATACAGGACGATCTTTGGGAACTGTCCGGTTTCTGCAAAGCACTGAATAACCTTGTTGGGAACATTTGCCCTCAGGTACACACTGAGAGCCAGGGTGGGATCCACTGCCTTCACCAGGTCCCCCAGTTCCTCTGAACACTCCAACTGCAATTTACAACCAGAAAATACCATTTACATCAATTTGTCCTTAAATCAATCATCTTTTCCCCCTCTGACAAAAACCATCAATCACATCAAATAATGAGTGAAAAAATTAAATTATGAACATTTAAAACTTATTTTTATAACTAAGAAAATTACTTCACTGACTGAAAAAAAATCATTTCAGAGGAAAAAATATCAGCAAATCAGATGACCTCGTACTTTCTGTGATAAGAAAGTTATGTAAACAAAACAAGAATTTCAGGAAATGCCTCTGTGTGTGTGTGTGTGTGTGTGTGTGTGTGTGTGTGTGTGTGTGTGTGTCAGCATGAAGGCCTACAATACCTTGTCCTCCTTCAGCCACTTCTCCAACAGTTGTTTTCTTCCCTGCTGGAGGACAGGCCTGCAGAGCTCCAGGGACTCGTACTTGTTGAGTTGGCCCTGGTCCAACAGGATACCGAAGTACTGGAGCAGGGGCGAGGTCTGGCCGGGCTGAGTGGGAACACTCTGGAAGCGACGAATGGTGTCCGGGGTGCGCAGAATACCCTGGAAAGAAAAACATTACAATTATGCTGAGAACAGGACATAAAAAAGATAATCAGTATTAGAAAATATATATAATAATAATAATATTTCTGTTAGTGCATTTTAAGACACTTGAGTCATTTTGTATTGTTTAATTTGATGTTTTTAATGTTGTATAGTATAGTTAAATAGGAGTCAATAAAACAAGCATACAACAGGCGATATCTTTAAACAAACTGTATGCCCCAGGCTGTCAGGAAGCAGGAATGATACCTTCGGTGCGTTAGCAGCAACTTTGGCAGCCTCAGAGTAATTGCCGGCAGCAAACAAGTTGTTGAACTTGCGAGCGAAGAGCTCCTCAGCTCCTGCGAGGTTGTTGCGTACGGCTAAACGCAGAGCGAGGTCTGGATTCTGCAACACGTTGGTGATGTACGGGATTATATTTTCCTCTTCCACACAGACAGACAGCACCTGAGTTAAAACAGAAAATGTTTCAGTAAAGTGTAAAGATATTTCAATCAAAACCAATCAACATTGTTAAAATTTATACTTCTTAAAACTGTATCAAGAATTGTTTTTATTCATCCAGTAAAAAGGAATGGACACATTTAGAAAGCTCAGTTGAATAAATGTGTTAGCATAGAAAAGTCCATTTACCATTCACGCTCAGTACAAATGTTGTTGGTCCATCTAAAGTCCAATTTATCAATGCTACAGATTTTATATGACAGCAATGTCACTAACCTAAGTATTTGGAAGTAGTTTAAATAATAATGAAAAAATTAACAACACATTGGAAGTTGTAAGATTTTTAGTGGACTACGTCTCCATCCAAGATATCYAAGGACAGGGTTCCTCCAGCTTAAAACAAGCTAAATTTATGACTTTTTAAGACCTCTTTAATGCCACTTACAATTTATTTTAACACCAACTTCACAAAAAACAATACGAAACAAAAAAAATTTCAAAAAAGATTAAGATGAGATGCATCAGGACAAACCCCCCCCAAAAAATTAGCGACAATTTTACCTAAATGTTTACTTTAACAAAACAATTTTTTTTTAACTTTAACAAAATAATTTACTGAATGCCTCTGAGAGGCATTCAGTAAATTATTTTTAAAAACCAAATAAATATTACCAATTATTTTAAAATTTGAGATGAATTACAATAATCCCATTTAGCTCCAATGTTTTTAAGACCTCTGAAAGACTGATTTAAGACCTTTCAAGGCTAATTAAGGCCTTATTTTGGATTGATGAATTCAATGTCTTTTAATGCTTTTTAAGGATCTGCAGGAAGCCTGAAGGAGCAGGTAGGGAATTAAAACGGAAAAATTGTCCAGTTTTTCTGACTTATAAAACATAAAATCTTGTCCTGATGCATCTCAGTAATCCAGGTAGAAAATATATAAATAAAAGCTTGAAAGACAAATTTCCAACATATCTGTATTGATTAAACAGCACAAAGTTTCCTGGAGAGGAAAAGCAACCAASAAACTACAGTCACTATTCTCAAGACAGCAAACAAGATCAGGTGACACATGAGCAAAGTATCAAATGATTCACTGACCCAGACATAAATCCAAAAAAACTGAGGAAAAACTTAAAATAAGATGACCGCCATAATATTGTCTTGAAGAGTTGAACTTTGTGAAAGAGAGGAAGAAATACTTGAAGAAATTGACATTATTTGCATCATGTGTCAAAGGGTCTTTTGTCATTTAATGATTTTTTTTTCATTTATAAATTACAGCACAATGCACACAATGCACTAGTTCTGCATGGCACTAAAAGACCAAATGGGTCATTCCGTGTCAAATCAATCAATAAATAAAATTAATTAATTAATTAAAAACTAAAAATCTCAAATTCTAATGAAAATGTGGACATTTGTCAATTGTATCTGCAAAATGTGATCATTCAAACCAGTGGTTCCAGAGGCATGGCCACCCAAACTTTTAAATTTTCTATGAAAATTGGTGTATACGCCTACATTCATGCTCAGTTATCTCCAGAACTACTGGGTCAGTTTCCACAGTCTTTGTATCACTGGAAAGGGAATTTGATGATGATTCCAAACCGCTGAGCACGTTTAGTTTGATCTTTCCTATGGCAGTGAAACTGACCTTGTGGATCACATGACCTTCAGATAGGGATGTGCAGATATGAAAATTTCAGCAGATATCGATATCTAATATAATTATTGCYGTTAAGGCCGATAACCAATATTTACAGATATTACACAAACAAATTATATTATACAAATACACACAAACACACTTGGGTCTTATTTTGATAAGGTAAATAAACAAGACCTGTGACACGGCTCCTTACTTTAGTTATTCTTGGCTACGCAGCGTCAGTATCACTACCATGATCAAACAGATGCCACTCAACCAACCATCTCCCCTCCCAAAACACAAACACAAAGATAAAAAGTGGGAAATCAATTTCAGACGTTAATGTCGGCCCAGTTTTACATATCGGACCGATACCGATATTCTAAAAAATGACTAMTATCGGCCCATACCAATATATCATCTCTACCTTGAGATGACCTTTCCTGAAATTAATTATCAAAAAAACATTTCAACATGGCAATATGTTTTTGTTAAGGAGAAATTTTCATAAAAAAAATACAAATTTTTTTAAATAAATAAAAAACTGACAAAATGAACCATAAAATGCATTATGATGTACATAGTTACATGAATATGTATAGTATATTTTTTTTTTATCAAAATTGTATTTTCTGTAGATTAACCTGATTTGTAAAAAAACATTCTTAGAGGCCTATCTTATATTTAGTCTAACCTTTCCTGAAATTTACACCTGTATTTGTCATCTAAACCAGTGGTTTGAAAATAGGTGGTATGCTCATTTTGTAGAAAAAGTCCGGTGGTCGGGGTAAAACCATTGGGGGATTTGGCGTGGAATGACCCTTTTTTTTCCAGTGAATCTACCATATACATGCAGTCCAGACAAAAAGAAGACCGTATATGATCAAATTATTTAATTTGAATGAATAYTTGTATGTAGTACTGCAGTAATACATTTGTATCAGGTTACCCATTTTGCTGGTATCTACCCTACATAACTGTTAGCGATGAGAGGTCAGGTCAGTAGCCTWTTCCCTCTCAGATCACAGCCTATTTACAAGTCTACACAAACATATTTGACTGCCCTCAGCCCCACCTTCGATCGGCTTTCCTCACTTCACTAAATTATTCATGTGGTGTGTGGCCTGGTAGGAACATTATTCATCAGATGGCTGTATCCAGTTCTCCTTCTCTGGTTCAGCTTTACAAATATCTGTAACACACAACCCTCCAGGCTGTGTGTGTGAAACACTATACCTTGGATTATTTAGATTGCCTCCTAGCTGCCTGAACTTGCCTGATAAACAAACAAATGCTTCTGCCACAACTGATGTTTGGTGTTGTGGGGGCTAMCAATCAGAAACAGATGCCAAACATGTGACAGCTCATAAAAACAAGATATATATGCACTAGACTGTGTACACTAAAAATACCTGATAGGTGGATGGTGTGAGCAGCACAACTGTACTGTGACAGTAAAAAGGCTACGCAGCCACACTAAGGACCAACATGAGCAGATAGGATAAGCCCTGGCTGGAATTCTTACCTGTCCCTTCCTGTTGACCCCAATAATGCCCGAGGTGGCCTCATGTGGGGCAGTGACAAAGATGGTCTCCCCACTGATGCGGTTCATGTAGATGCAGGTTCCTGTCTCCAGGTCATACAGGTGGATGTAGCCATATTTGGTAATAAGGAAAACCACATTGTTCTTTGCACTTATCTGTGAAAAGATTGAAATCAAAATAAGTGCTCTAGCTGTTTTTTTACCCTTTAAAACTTATTTCTCCCCCATTGCTGTCATAGGCTTATTATAATGTGTATTTGGCAACTCCATAAACATCTGTAGAAGAAGACAAACTTGAGTTTGAACCATGTTTCAGTGTACAATGAAGACAATGGATAAGAGTTGACACCTACCTGCATGGCCACAGGGAAGTCATTCTGAGCTTCTGGAGGAAAGAAGACATCTACTGCTTTCTTTGCAAATGGCTGGTTACCAGTTGGTGGTGTCCCCACTTCAATGATGTGCAGCTAGGTCAAAAAATACAGAAAAACCTCAACGACAGCTACACTAATGTTTTCTATTACCAAATGTGACCAAGAAGTTACCTTTCCTCCAGCCTGGCCTCTGACAGCAAAGCAGAACAGAGTTGATTCTTCTGCATTACCCTCAATCTTAAACTGGGCAAAGCTGGCAGCATGGCCCTCAATGGGCTGGGAAACCTTTCTGTCCACAGAATACAGCTGCATGGCTCCTACCACTCGATTTTGCTGCAAAACCAAACATACATGACACAAATACACCAACAAACTAACACATTTAGGCAAACATCTATACATATGGTCACTTTCTAGATTTTACAATAAACTCACCTGAGCTGAGATACCAATAAGGAGGAGCCATTTTTGCTTGGCATCAGTTCGGTAGTTGATGATCTGACATCCTGCCAGGCTGGAGTGACGGTCAAAGACCTTCACAGGCTGTGAGTCCCCCTCCATGCTCCAGTGGTACACAGCAGTGTCAGTCACAAGAGCAACTGTGTTGAGGGAGATCCACTTCCAGAAGGTGACATCGTCAGTCATGGTGTGCGCCTTCATCTTGCTTTTCATCTCAATGTTAAAGATCTGAAGAGTTTTAGCCGCTAAAAATGAGAGAAAGCAGGAACCAGGCCAGTGGAAAAAGTTAGTTTATAAAAAGTGTTTGTGCACTAACAGAGAAACACACCAGAGTTTGATTTAATATATGAAGTTTAAATTAAAACGTAATCACTGTAGGAAGATGCCAAGAGTGATAGACAAAGACACGGAGCATGCTGTGGTAAGAAAGTGTTTCATCAAGAAAGTCAGAAGAACAAAGAGGTAAAAACTAATTTTGGTCTTTAGAGGCAAGTAGCACAGTAGTTCAATATAAACTAATGATGATGTGCCAATAAAAACACTGCTGAACACTTGTGCATTTAGAACTACAATGATTGAAATATGAAACTGAGAAGAACAAGTTCAGGGTAGACAAAAAAATTAATCACGATTGTCGTATTTAGTTGTTAATGATTAATTTGACGATTAATCCCCTGCAGTCTCTTATGACCAATTTAGTGGGAAAGATTTGTTCTTCAGAAAAATCTGTTCCAAACTGTGTCTAATTTACAGACTTCAGGCTATACATACAATGTTAAATTGTGTTGATAAATAAATTACACTTTTTTTATGTTCATCATATTTGAAGCGGAGAGGAGCACAGAGCGGACTCTGCCTGGTGGTATTAATCGTATTAATCKTCAAGTGCTAAAAAAATAATCTAATGTTTTTCTGACGATTAATTGCCCACGATACGATTATGCCCAACCCTAGTTGGGGGTTATCCTTTCMACCAGCTTATGATCTGTGAATTATGATCTTTTAAAATGTTCAATAGACTTATTTGTAACAAATATAGGTTTATATGGATGACCAACTGAACAGCTAACACACACACAGACACACAAAGTAGTAGTTGACAGAAAGAAAATGTTAAGTAAACATCTCCTTTTAAGTCAAATTAAAGGATAACTGAACAGAAATGTAAAGACTTATGTGAGAGTGAGTGGTACAGTTTGAACACTGAGTTTTAGTCAAGAACTGAAAGGTTAGCCAATAATAATTTTGATTAACCATTAGTTAAAACCAAGTGTGTTTCATGATGTTTGAGAAACAAACCAAAGCTGTTTATAAGAAGTTCACTCACCTGCATTTTGTGTTTTATTAGTGAGGATTAATTTAGTGAGCTAAAGCTTTTATTAATGAGCAGTGACTTTCTCGTTTCATCAATAATACTTAACAAAAATGATGTAACAAGCAACGTGTGTTAGCACAACAACCAGGATCATCTTGCCATAAAGCTGTGGCAAAAATACAATAAGCGGTGTGACAAATTAATGACTTGGAGCGACAGCCAACTTTTAAAAAGCAAGTGGAGAATTTTAACTAGATAACGGTGAACAGTTGATGGTGTGCACATGCATTGGTAAATCTTGATCTGTGGTTAAATGAACACGTTAAGGCTTATAGTGTGATGCTTGGAAAGGTTTGTTGAATGAATTATGGCGCACTGAAAAGAAAATACAATGAGTGGAAACAAGGGGGAAAGGTCTATGCCAACTATGATGAAACATAAATACTACAAACCAATCCAAAGCCCTGAATATATTTTTCTAATGCCAGTTTTTAATTTATATTCTCCAAAATTACACAMGTCAAGTTGCTGCTGAGTGACAAGTAGGGATGTCCCGATCAGATACTCAATATCAGTATCGGTGGMAGATATGGCCAATTTTTGAAAATCAGGTAGAATCAGATGTAGTCATGTGATCGGGCCGATCCAGTTTTCAGCATCGTCATGCTTTACAACTGCCGTTACGAAGTCAAGACGCACACAAGTACACAACCATGTCCACAGTGTGGGAACACTTTTCAATGGAAAACAATGATGCTGAAACTGCATCTTGTGGTGGAACAGCAGGGCTTGCTTTAACAMTACCAACCCTGAAATAAAGCTATAGGAAAGATTAATCGTTAAAAAATTTGGATTTTATCGGGAGCCAAAATATCTGCATCGGGACATCCCTACTGACAAGTGTGAGTTGTTCAAATGTTACCTTGTATAAGGAAATCCTAATAACTTCATACATGCTGTGTATCATATCTGCCTGTTATCAACGTAGTGTTTTCAAATCAACAGCAGTATACTCTTCATTATAACACTCATTAAAAATACATAACCATGTTAGGTATATTCAGTAAAAATCACTTTAGTCAGAAAGTATTTTTTGATTCCCACAGTGTCACACACTAAAGATGATACAGCACATCTTTTAGTCTTTAAAATTTATTTCCCTCTTAAAAAGGTTAAAGTATTGAGAAGGCAGGCAACTGATTAACAGACAAGGACGTCATTTAGCAAAACACCAAATATAGTATACTGTTAAATGCTGAACTAAAACTGTAATTCTTATTGTCAGCAGCTTTATAATAAATGTACTTTAGTAAATTACCAGTCACAACTGAAATCCAACTTAAATTTAATTTTAAAGTTTACACATTCAGGCCTCCTTTACACTGGATGACAACCCATCAAGAATGCAACCAATAAAACAAATGGATAAATAAATAAGACAGGCTGTCTTTGTATAAAGAATGACGTGAAACTTCAATTACAATTTGATAAGTCCAGCTGGGTTTTAGGCATGCAGTTGTGGCAGCAGAATAAGGGAAAATCTGTACAAATGGACATGTAATAATAAACGCTACCTTTTCTTTGACTGTTCAACTTGATGTGCTGAGAGCAGGAAACTGTCCCACGGAAAAAAAAATAATAAAAAAAACTGCAATCCACCATCAGTTTTCTACTCCTCTCCAGCCAAAAATAAAAAATAAAAAACAAACCATTTTTCTGACAGAGACCCAAATTTATTTGTCAAGCAGCAATAAATAAATTTAAAAAATCTACAGGAAAAAGAAAATAAAATGGGGCAAAAGTTTAATGAAGTTTGGTTGTAAAGAGGAGACAGAGAGGACATGGTCTGACTCGAATCAGAAACAGGGAGAAGAAACGAGGTAGAGTGACACAGACATCTGCAAACTCTTCAACTTTTAGCTACATCAGTACAAGTGAAGTGAAACTTTATCCAAGATTTTGTTGCTAAGTGTGAAGAATCAGATATTCCTTTAGAAAAATAATAAAACAGCTTTCAGTTCTTGATAAAGCACTGTAAAAAAGGTAGGGACTCTACCAAAACAGAAGTAAAATGAAATACTCTATTCTGCCAGAATGTGAACAAATTTTTACTCTTTTAATTTAATATTTGTGAGATTTTTTTATATTAAGTTCAAATCAAAAGCATTTTTATTTTGCAAAAGGGTAATTTTTTAAAGTGCAATTTAATGTGAGAACCAAATTTATGGTTTTGCACATAAAAAATGTATTTTTGTTATTTAAATAAAGGGAGGTAAATACTTTTAAATACCTTGCAAAAGCATTTAATATTTCTTATATTTGTGTAAGTGAATTAGCCATTACATTTTGAACTCTGTGGCTATTAATTTATTTAATTATTTTCCAGTCACTTTATATCCACTACTACTTTTTAGGTTAATAATTATGTTTGGAATCGAAATGTGAAATTTAATAAATAAATAAAACCATTGCACTACAGCCGCCTTCGCAGGCATCTAATCCAGCCTTACACCATGGGTGGTACCATTACCCATGACGTAGGGCTGGACTGCATCTGTACGACGTGGCCTTTAAACACTTGAAACAGGACTGCCCAGCAGCCCCATTATACCAACATATGGTGGTAGAGTCGTGAAAGCATGATGTGATTCGGCATGGGTCCAATACTGGTTTCAAGGTACACCATGGTATGAAAAAGTCACGGTTTCAAAACCACTAAAATTTTCTGAACAGAAAGTGTTTTGTGTTTATTTTTCCTCTGTGCACTGTGGCAGCAGACTGCCTGTCACTCTGCTCAGCTCTGCAGGGCTTGTGTGATGGAGAGTTGCACAAACTGTCTAAAATAATTAATCCAGCTGTATGAAAATACTTAGGATGCCGTAAAGACGGCAATGTGGACCGTGGAGGCAACACATCTAACATGATGGCAGCTCCAGGTAAACTTTATGCTATCTTGAAAGGAACGAGCTAACGTTAGCGTGTTGCTGTGGATTAATGTGCTGACCACAGCTTGTCTGCAAAACTGTTCGAGTTGTTGGATTGTGTATTTGATATGTTTTAAGAGAAAGGTGATAAAACTGAAGCCTCCTTTAGCCGAGCAGCTCGTTAGCTGAACGTTTCATAAACATGCATTCATAGTTGTGATTTCTTGTTTGTGTCCAAATAATTATATAAACATCATACCAAAAAACTCCTTTGTCATGTAAAACACGATAAAAACTTGATACATTACTTCAACAGAAAGACTTGTGTAGTATACACTGATTTGTCTTCAATAATAAAACAGAAAAGCAGTCATCTTACTAGATGTAAATTTCATCAGGATAAACTAATTGCATTAGATGCTAAATATCAATAAAATACAGATGCACACAGGTAAATTAAATTTCAGAATAACACCTCTGAAATCTAAAAAACAGCTTGCAAGATAATTAAAGGGGACCTATTATGCAAAATTCACTTTTTAAAGCTGTTTTTACTCAACTTTGGGTATGTACTTCTTAAAAAAACAGTGCAAGGACCAGAAAATGCACCCAGGGGCATATTTACTGTAAGTATTTTTAATGTATATTAATGACAAGTTTTATACTTCCGTCATTTTTTGATGTCACAAGCTGTACGACAACCGTTCAGCCCCTTACCTAGCAACCCCCGGGTGAGACTCCTCCTCCTCAGTATAAAAAGACATCACAGTGTTGTGTAATGTGTAGCTCTGTTCACAACAAGCCTCCAATAGAGAGACCAGGGTTTGAGACTGGTACGGACACTATTTATTTAGTTTTGTTCATTATGAACATGTTTTCTCATGTAGCTCTATTGTTTATCTTATTAAAGCCTTGTTAAAA